AAAACCCTTAAATTTGGTTGTACCAAAGTTTTTAAAGTATTATTTTATGAACGCATATTAGATAAATTTAAGCAGACTTTATCACTTGTGCAGATTATATGACTTTCGTAAGCATCTATTTTAATGTTTATGGAATTCTTACAACATATTCCCATTTTAGAATTTTAATCTTTTGAATCACTAATCAATGACTGTATTTCTACCCATTATTTTCCTCTGTATTTCTATGTGCTGCTGATACACAGTTATTTCTTATGACTTCCTTATTTTCTTCTATATTTTATTTCTTCTAACAAACTTTAATTTCAGATTTCTTTTATTTATTCACAGGAAAGTTGCAAAGAATTTACAAGCATTTTCTATCCACCCTTTACCCAATTTTAGTTTTGGACTCTGAGTATAAAACTATGTCTCTTTTATAGACTTTGAAACTTTATCCTCCATCAATCTTACCAGTCTGTATCAAGAGTTCATTTTCTTTCAACAACACAGATGCATGCCCTTCCTTCATGATTGAAAATTATGAGTTTGCATTTGTCCACTTACACTGAGAGTAACAACAACAACTACACTTGGGGGTTAGCTTACTTTTAAACAGTTGATGCATGTCCACTAACAAAAAAAAAAAAAGTGAAATATTGACCCTTAAGAAGAGATCCTCATTGTATATTTCAGATAACAGCTAGTTCAGCAGCTCAGTCATTATCTATTTATATTTACGGATATGTACATGTATGCATGCATGTGTGCACACTCATTTGCATGCACACAACAAACAGAGTAGCATCTTGGGGCACATACTCTTCAGAAGCATTTTGRTGTTAAAAATTCAACACAAGACATATTTTGGGCCATGGCAGTATTGTCATTCTTCATTCATGTTCATGATCTTTATCTTTTCAGTGTGTTTAATTTTGACAGGAAAATTATGAAGTCTGTCAAACAGCCCCAAGTTTAGRATCTTATCTTATTTGGATAAACTTATATTTGTTGTTTTCTTCAATATAATCACTTGTTGCCAAAGGAAGAAATGCTACCCTTCAATTAGCTGGAACATTCTGACAAATGGTTGTCAAATCTTTAAAGATAAACCTGTTCTATAATTAAATTAGTCACTCCAGCTTCTCCTTTCATTGRAAGTTCATTAACTTAATCTTAGACATATTAATATGCTTGCTTATAGTTTCATCTCTTGGTATAAGATAGCCAATCTAATAACACATATTCTAGTAATTTGAATATTTTATATGTGTAGATTTCATTAAAACTTTGGTTATTCTTTGCAAGAAATTGTGAAATTGTATTCATTTCTCCCTCCTGTGGTAAGTATTTGCTTCATTAATATCAAATTCTTGCCCCACTTCTCSGTTTTCATGGCATTCTGAGTACAGAATAACTTATTGTTGCAAGACTGAATCACTGAGTAATCTCTTTGATGACATTTTTAGCAATGCACATAATTCAAATTAAGTGACTATAAGAAGAGACATGATAAAGTTCACATTAAGATTTAGGCAGATGTGATTGTAAGTTATCATCAGCTATAAAAATGTCTTTTAAAATGTTGCTTATAAACTGGAAATTATCGTTGATTCCTAGAGAATTAAAAACAACTGCCATTCTAACACTTCTCTATTTTTTGACTCACCATTCCACCCATTTACTTCTTTCTCAATGGGGAACTTTAGTTCCTATATTGCTTAGAAAACTAATGTATTACAGGTTAGTTATTAAGCATCCACCTGTATATTTTTTCACAAAGATCATCCATTGTGAGTGGATTATTTCACCTTGCTTACATCTCTGAGGCAAATATATTCCTTTTTCTTTCCAAGGATAAAATTCCTTTTTGTTGTTGTTGTTGTTGTTTTGGGTTTTGGCCTGAAAAATTTGTGTACACAGATAAGCACCCTAGGTGGCTATGATGTAGGTAAGCTTCAGATCAGTTTGATAAATAATGGTGTTCCCATCTTTCATCACTGTGTTTCCACTGAAAGCTTTCTTGTTGCTATAAATATACCTATGGGAAATATACATTTCCTGTTCTATTTTTTTCACTCCTTTAGGGTAATAAATATTAATAGAACAATATTTGCCTCTTAGATGTTGCACTCAAAAATTGCTCTACACTGTTCCAAACTAAGGACAGGATGAAACCTCACATTCATAGTATTTGTTGCCTTGACTACAAGATAAACTAATGAATCTTAATCCTTTGAGGGTGAGGAGATGTGAAGAAGGACAAAAAAGAAAAGCAATGAGTGGTAAAAGTTAAGGTGTTCCAGGGTACCCTTCAAATCGGTTAGGGCCTGGACGCGAGGAAATGCTAGACAAAATCTAACCATATTTCTTATCTCTCTTTATAAGCCATGCATGTTGGGACCCAGTAGATAAAAGAGAATTCCCAGGTCTATATATACTACCAGAAGTCATGAGGCATGATGGAGAGGTTATACTTCAAGGGTCTTGGAAACAATCCACTTCCCTTCATTTCAATCTCAGATTCTGAAGTGCAGTGTATACTTCCTTCCTCCATTTCCTTTCTCAGCCTCACTTGCTCTTTAGCTCAATGTGTTTTGACCCTGTGCCCCTACAYAAATGAAACTGCATTTCTGAATGTCACAAATGATAATCACAAGATACAATGGCCTTTTTTTCTACTTCATCCCCTGTGCATGATTTTAACAGGTTTGACTACCCATCCTTGAAATTCTCTTTCCTTCTGACTTTCCTAACACTAAATAAGCTTAARCTGCTTGTTTTTGTTGTTTTTAAGAAATTCAAATTTCACAAAAGGTAGATGCTAAGGGAGGTTGGTAAAAGAAAGTGGTTATGTTGGTAGTGAAATCCTCCCCAAAAGTTATTCAAAGGAAGRAATTTTCAAAACACATAATGTTCCAACACTGTGTTTCCAAACTCTGATTTTCTTCATGAAGGGTAAGAGGTTAAGACAAAAAAATGTTTGACTGGCAATATATGGTAGAGAATGCTCTTTCAAGCATAAAGTGAAGAAAGTGAGTTTGTTATCTTTTGCCTATAAGAGAAAGGATTGCTACCCCTTAGTAATATGCCTTTGGAACTCACCAATGTGGGGTGATTTCTTGATTCATAGTAATTTTCTCCTTATCTGGGAGTGGCATATTAATAAGGAAAAGTGGGTACTTAATGGCCATATCGACTCTGAACTTTCTACTCTAAACCTGAATACCCAAAAAGTAGATATCTTACCTAAGTTGGGCATATAGATTTGGTATCCTTGGAGTTTTAAATTTAAAASGAAGAGATACAAAGGTTTTGTTACCCATTTTACCAGTGTAATGTTAATAAAAGTCAATACCAGGAGATAAAGAGGGGTTACGAGAGTTCCTTTTAGTTGCCACATTCTTTCCTTCATACATCTTTTATTAAAGATATCACTCCACATATTAAGTATTGCATAAACTTACCACAAAACCCCACAATTAGCTGATCCTTTAAGAGGTGTCAAAAGAGTTGGGCAGGCATGGTGGAGCATTCCTATAATCGCAGCTACTGGGAGGTTGAGGCAGGAGGATTGCATGTTTGAGACAAGCCTGGGCAATTTAGGCAGATCCTATCTGGGAAAAAAAAAAAAAAAAAGTGCAAAGGCTGAAGATGCAGCTCAGTGGTAGAGTTCCCCTGGGTTCAATCACCAGCACTGAAGTGTGGGGAGGGAGATACCAAAAGACACTGTAGTGTTAGAACCTATTTTTCTCCTTTGTTGTTCCTCACAAATTGAGGAATGTAGATAAAACAAAATCACCTGAAAATTGAGGTAAGTAAATAGTCTAAGAAAACGTCTTATTTTTTTTTTCAGGTTAAATGTGAGTCTCATAGTTTCATTAGAGTGTCAACCCATTTGTTTTATTACCTCTTGACCATTTGTTTCCTTATTGTATTGGCTTTGAAAACATTTATATGTTCAGAGTTACTTTTTATTGTGTATTGTTTACAACACACCTGTGACTTAGCAAAGTATGATTATTCATACAGTACAGATGGTGAGACTAAGGTATAATGCCATCTAAAAGCTAAATAGCAGAGTTGGAACCAGAATTTATGGTTCCCCAAACCTCATGTAGAGCAGTATTTTCTGATATCCCTACCCTGTCTTTAACATTCATGAACAAAAGACTGTATAATTGCAATCTCACACCAAAATACAAAGGTAGGATTTTAGAATGGGTTTGGGTSTTTCTCTTTAGTGGAAATATATAGTGTTTTAAAATAAAAGTAATGTTTACAACCCAGTACTCAGAGATCAAATCTTGTAAAGATGTTTCAGGTTTCCAAGCCTGGCCTCAGACATAATGTCATTCATTTGTTTGTCATATATTTTGTTTAAAATCTGAAATTTTCTTTCTCTAAAGGGAGTGTCACAGATTTTTTTTTTTTTTTTTAGTACCAGGGATTGAAGGGGGTAGGAGCACTTAACCAATGATCTACATTCCTAGCCCATTTATTAATTAATTTATTTTTAATTTTTTTGCTTTTGTTTTGAGACAGGGTCTTGCTAAATTGCTTAGTCTGGCTTTGAACTTGTGATTCTCTTATCTCAGCCTCCTCAATCTCTGAAATTACAGGCATAAGCCACCATGCCCAACCAGAAACATAATTTTAGCTGATTTGAGAATGTATTGTCCTCTGTGTTATATGTAAGTTTAATCCCTTACTTGGTTGAATTCTGGTTTAGGGCATGTTTATTGAAACAAACAACAATCTCTAGAAGAAGAAAACGTTTTCCTGAAAATAGTATGGAGCTAAGCATTTACCCTATGTATCAGGTTTGAAAATCTGTCAGCTTAGTCATGTAGTTAGAATCACATATTGTGCCAAGAAACACATGAAAATTTAAATYAAATTTATTCTAAGATTGGTAAAGAAAAGTAGAACAGAAAGAGAAAAATCATTTGGACTGATACATTCTTATTCCACATTTATTAAACAGCTATACATCACTATTGACAAAAAGTTTTCCCCCTTAAAACATAAGTACAGAAAAAAAATGTTGTAATCCAGTGTGAATTTATCCATTCCCCTTCTTCCAGCACCAATTTTGGAGTAACTGGATAAATTGAACACACAGGATTATATCACAATTGACATTCCAAATGCAAAAGTAAAAATAAATCTTTGCTCAATTTATTATCAACAGAATATGTAAAATAAAGATATCCTAAAAGGGTTTCAAAGTTTAGTTTAACATCGCATCCTTTAGATTTTTTTTTCTGTCAGTTAATGAAGCGCAAGGACTAACCTAATTCATGTGATCCCCATCTGTCATTGCCGCAGTAGTGATGAAGCCAAAAATGAAATTCCATTCTTCATTCAATTCCTGTGGCTGGATATTAGTCAGGTAATCAAGCACAACTCCCAGGCTCTTGTGTTTTCAGATGAAGAAACTAAGGTCAAGTGACTTGCCCTGGGTCACACAGCAAGACATCATGAGAGAAAGGAACAGAACTAGTAACCTTGGACTTTCTCAGATGTTACCAAGACCACTGAACCATACCATCTTCCCAGGTAATTACCTCTTTGATATTGAGTGGRTCACATTTTTATTTTCTTTTGATTTTTCTTTTCAAGCACAATCCTTATTCTTTATTTCTTCTTTATCTTCTTCTTTTAAGCAGGCATGCAGAAATGCTCTCTCCACTTAGTGTTTCTGGTAATTATCTTCAAGGAAACCAGAATACAAATTTAAAGTACTCATTAACATGCTGATTAGAAATTTCTCTCAAAGACTCAAAAGGCAGGAAGGGACCCCCAGAGATCATCTGATCCAGCTCCTGACTTCAGGCATGTTTCACCTAAACAGTTTCAGGCAGATGGAAAACTATATTTATGACCCCCCAGGAGAGACTCTTCAACCTCCCTTGGTAACACAACCCTGGGCTTAGATCTGCTTTTCTACATAATGGATTAGGTGCACAATGTAGAAAAACAATACGTACTTCCTTGTAATGTCAGGTATTATTAAAATGATTGAGATTAATCATATTATGTGTTGTATTTATATAATTTCTTATCTGGCCAACATTTTGTTCTATGTTGGAAAAGTCTTGCTAGTTATTAATCTTTCTTTTGACATAAAACCTGTTGTAATTTATTTTTCACTTAAAAACCATATTCTGGAGGATACCAGAATTTTAAGTGAGTTCAAGTGTCTGCCATTTTATATATGCTTCTTTTTGGCAATGCAGGATGTGTCCAATATAAATATTATTACCTTCTCTTAATCCCTATCCTGATACCCCAACCAGGATACCCTCAGATGATATTTGAGGGAACTGTGGGAATTAAGAACAGTTTCTCCTGGCTTAGAAGTGAAAAGATGATCTGGGCAAATGTATACACTATGACTTGCTCTTGGGACTTGCCTTTTAATTTCCTTAGMATATTGTGCATATGAATTCAAATATCTGATATTCATAGTTGAAATCCCACTTCTGTTTAATTCTCTTTAGGGACTGATCCCATATTTGCCCAGTTATGTTTCAGACATAAAATAATAATTTTTGTCTTCATTAAAATCAGAATATATTTATAAAAATATCCATTGCTGCTCTTTTAAATCTCCACATTGAATGGTAGAAAATACGTGCTGGTAAAACAATCCTTAGTTCAAATGTGCCCAGTAGAATAAGAAGTAGTCTTCTGGAAGGACTGGCTTCTGATATGAAACTAGCTTTAATGAGCTACATGAATTAAACTTTGGGCACTGAAGGTGGAGGGAACATCCTGTCATTTCTTCATATGCTAAAATGATGTCAGAATTTATAAAAGCCCACGCATTTTTGAGAGACTGCCACATAGATCTCATCTTCTCTTCCTCATTTCCTATATATTTATTAAGAAAGGTCTGCTGGTATAGTAACATACCTATAATCTCAGCTACTCAGGAGGCTGAGGCAGGATGATCTCAAGTTTGAGGTCAGTTTCCTCAGGAGTTTAGTGAACCCCTGTCTCAAAATAAAAAATAAAAAGGTCTAGGGGTACATTTCAGTGACAGAGTGCCCTGCCCTTGGGTTCAATTTCTAGTACTGCAAAAAAAAAAAAAAAAAAAAAGTTGTAGTCCAATACAAGCATTAGCTTGAGAGGTTGAAAGCCAGGTTACCTGAGATCCTATTTGTAAACTTTCTACTGACCAACTCTGAGGTTAGCTAATTCTTTTTTATAGGTTCTATCTTATTTATTTATAAAATGAAGAACTTATAAGAGAGGACCTCTGGAATCCCTTTAATGTCCAAAACTGTAAAAAAATGAGTAAATGAATGACTGACTATAATTATTGAGAATTTTAGTCTAGTTCTGCATATTTTATTTTTCTTATAATAAAAATTGTGTGATATTGCTCAAATATACATTTTAAATGTATTTTAATTAAAAGCTAAATGTTACTTGGATTTTTTTTTTTACTTAAGATAACACTAATCATAGGATCTTTGTAAATTAGATCTCTGTGAAGAATAAAAGAAAAAAGTAATGAATTATTTAAGCATTTGCAATATGTTGATTTTTAAATATTATGAACTCAGCTCACATCCAAAATTAAAAGTCAATTAAATAAAAGTTTTATTAAATACAAATGCACTGGATCCATAAGAATTTGAAATAAAGCATCAAACTAAGTCTGTTCCAATGAAAAATTTCATGTTAGGATTTATCCAAATGTGTTTTAATCTCCTTCCTAGAAATCTTCTAGGATGGAACTGAGAATACTTTGAGTTCCTCTGCCAAATGTAAGCCAGTTAGATTAATCTTTTGAACACATTTAACCAGGGTGCATAGAGTAGCAAAGAATAGCATATTTACATCAGAGGGTCAGAGGTGCCCTTCATAACTACACTGGAATGTGTTAGGTAACACCAGGAAAGTCATCTAGAACAGAAACAACATAAAGAATGTTTTTCAAAGAAAATGAATTTATACTTTATTTAAAAACTTAGTATTGTCTATGGTAGATGGAATGATGTCCTTCAAATATGTCCACATCCTAATCTCCAGACCTTGTGAATATACATCTCGTGGCAAGGGGAAAGAAAGGTTACAAATTAAATAAAGTTTGTTAATAATATRACAGTAAAATAAGGAGCTTCTCTTGGAATATCTCAGTAGGCCCAATGTCATCACACAAGAGTCCTTAAATGTGGAAGAAGGGGAGAAGAGTCAGAGTCAGAGAGAGAGTGATCTGAAGATGTTATGTTGCCAGTTTTAAGATGGAGGAAGGGGCAAGGAGTCAAATAATGTTTGCAGCCCCTGGATGTTAGAGAAGGCAAGAAACAGATCAGCCCCCAAACTTACAAAAGAAACACAGCTTTCATGAAAGCTTGACAGTCACTTGGTGAAACCCATTTTGTGCTTCTGGCCACCATAACTGTAAAATAGCATACTTTGGGTTCTTTAATTCACTAAGTTTATGGTAATTTAGTATAGCAGTCATAAAAATTAATAGAATATCTTTTTGAGAGGAAACCAGGAGAATATATTCAAGAGATACCCTTATTTATCAATATCCTGTTTCACATAAACTCAAAATTGTACTTGAGACTCTCCACATCTCCAAATGCAGCAGCTATTGTCAAAAATGATATTTTAACTCAAAATTCTGTTCTGACATGACAATTCAACTTGTTATTCTAGACTACAGATTAAGTCTTATTAATGTTAGTTAATTTGCTTGTATCCTCATCCAAAATAGAGCCTTCTTAATTTGATAGAAATCCTTTCTGAATACTTCTTTAGAGCTCTTTTTATCATGCATAGAATATAGAATAGTCTATAACTAAAATTGATTATTATACACAAGCACCTTATGTTTTTTGGKTTTTTTTGTTTTTTACTTTTTCACAAATACCTTTTAAAGGTTGGTCTTAGTAGAGAGGAACCCACAGTGGGCATAAATGCATACTATCAACAAGGTTCCAATGAATTGAGTGCTCAAGTTTTTGTTTCTAAGCACTGAACTTAAAACTTTAAAACATAAAAATAGTATTCAAATTTTAACTTTTAGTACTTGTTCTGAAAATAATGCTGTGTACCCTAAAATTGTAATTATAACAAATAAAGTAGAAGTAAGGATAAGYAATTTTCATATTAAACTATGAAAATATGATAGAGTATGTGCCCAGAACTAAACATCACAAATGTTCAGATATTACTTATCATTACCATTGTGTCTATCAGTAAATTCAGGTTTCTGAGCTTTATTTTATTTTAATCAGGCTTACACATTTAGGATATACTTCTATTTCTTTTTATCAAAAATATCTAAAATTATTTTCAAACTGTTCCAATATTTTATCTGATATTAGGAGTCTGAGTTGTGAAGTATTTCCTTACATATAAAAGAAACAAAATTAAGAGAAGACATTTTAAAAATGATATATTTCTAAATAAAATATACTTACTTATAGAGCAATCATTTGAAAGTTTTCCAAACAAAACGTGCACCCACAAATTCAACTAATTTCATAATTGTGTTAGTGACTCCAAGTTATATATCCATATATCACATGTTGTCATTTAATTCCTGATTTTCCTCCAGTAACTTTACTAGATTTTTAGCCTCTTTGGAAAGAGTTCAAGGCTTGTTTATTTTAGATTCCTCAGATTGTCTAACTAGCACCRCACATTTCATGCATTGGGTTTAATCTAAGGATTTGTTACATGACTGAATAGAACAATGAAAAGAAGGCTTAAGTGTGGCTTGAAATGGTCACATTATTAAAGGTCACATTATTTGTATAGAAAATRTAATGCCTTTGCTTTAGGAAATTATTCATACTCGCTAATTTGCCAAGATCTAACATTCTGAGCCCTTTCTAATTCCTACTCATTTAAAATATAAAATGTGATAGYTATTACAATTTTATTTTATTGAAGAATCAAACCCATTACCCCCATATTTAGGTTCATTTCTATTTTGTATTATAGTAGTTCTGCACTCTAGAGTCCTTATTGAATTGAAGAGCAAATATATACATATGCTGTRTTGTGCCAGGGGGCACAAATTCTGTTTTGATTTAGTCATGTGCAACTTGTATTAACACTGAGAGGAATTCAGGGCAAAGTTTAGTTTATGTTTTCAAGAAGGATCATATTGCTACATATAGCAAATAACACATGAAGTCTTTTAGACTATAAAACCAATGATGTGCAGCCATACACATTTAGGATACTCATTTAGCTTTTCATTGACTAAGTGTCTCAATAGTCTGACTCATTCTTTATGGCAAATATTTTTAAAAGCAAAATGTGAAAAAGAGAGAAAAGAAATAAATTTCTAGGATTGTTAAAGCATGTATATAGATATGGGGAAAAAATCCAAATGTTAAGACTCACATACTGAAACATGGAGATGTTACACATATTATTTGGCTCAAAATGTATAAAAATTATAGAAGTTCTTATGATTATCTCATTTGAGCGTTGTCCTTAGGTCAGGTAGAATAGTGCTGTCTACTTGCTCTGAATTTGGAGAAGCTGACAGAATGGTGCCTGTGTGGAGGTGCTGAGCTGCTGAGAAGGGATGGGGGCAGGAAAGGAAGGTACACAGGGCTAGCTTTTAGTTAGCCTTTCCCTGAAACTATTCCTCTGTGAGTAAGTACTAGATATAGCAACCCTAGACAGGACCATACTCTTGACTGGCTTGTCCCCTCAACACATGTCACCTG